GCGGGGCTGGCGCCTCTGGATGGCGGGAGAGGGGTTGGGATCACAAGGAGCATCCTTCCGCCTTCTGTCATTTTTCGGAAGTTTTTTTGTAAGCGTTGGAGTTTTTCTAATACGAGTACTGTGTTCCTGTCGAAAGCTGTAACGCTGATCTCTGACCATTGTGGGGAGCCGAAGCCCGAAGCGCTGCACAAGATCCGGGAGGGCGGGACGGAGGAGGAGCTGTGTTGGAAAAGCGGAATGTGTCTGAATGTGGGGGATGGATTACCGGGGGAGTGGCTTACCGAGCGGGTACACAGCCTTTTACGATTCTGGGAAGTGTGCCTCTGGCAGTGCCTCTGGCTGCGAGTGGGAGCCGAGCACTGTTTCTTTTACCTTGTCCCTTGTTATAGTTTAATAAACTTCTAAAAATTTTAAGAAGTGAGGCGTCGTTTTTCGAAACAAAGAAAAAGACCACTTGATTCGCAGGGAAAACAAAACGAAAAAAACCCCCAAGATCAATAACTCTGATCCTGTGGAACTCTGAGCAAGCCGAAGTTGTAAAATCCCTTCTGACTGCCCTGTGACTGCACCGAGCCTTGTGAGACTCCAGCGGGACAGGGCACGGAGAGAGCCAGCGCGACGGGAATGGGGAGCTCCTGGTGATCTGGGCACTTTCTCCTTCATGTCACTGACCTGCCAGGAGCCGCTTTAGGACATGGATCCCAAAGCAGCAAGAGGTACCAGGAAGAGCCGCTGATCTGCACAGACCCCTTTGCCTGCTGCTGCCCCACAGGGAACAGGTCAGTGGAATGGTTTCCTTCCTCCCTACCCCACCTTCCTCTCCTGCAGCAGCTGCTCTGTTCCTGCCACCCTCTCCCGGTGACCGCAGTGCCCTCCCCAGGTCCCCCCTCCTCTGCCCTCTGCTTTCCATCCACATTCCCTGCCAAACAGCCCAATCCTACCACCTCCTTCTCCCAACCCATAATTTCCACTGCCCTCCTCCCCTGCACATCTCACTCCTCCCCCCTGAATCCTTCCCACTGCAGGGAGCTTGCTGAGACTTTACAACAGGATATTAATCCATTATAACCATACGTAGGCATTGAAAAGTTTTTCTTTTCTAATACATAAACACCATTTTCCTAAAACTCATCCATGCATCCACCTCCTCCCAGAAGTCCTTTTTTGATCCTGGAGGTTTATTAAGAGGGGTCTCTCTGGTGCTCATATTCAATGAATGCTGCCATATCAAAGGTGGCCCTGCCTTGAACTTTTCCTCTGGCCATGCGATGTTGCCTCTTGTTCCAGAACTTGCCCCAAATCACTGCAGGCCTCCTTATCTGTTTCTGCACTGGTTCCAGCCACATCTATCATCCTGTGTGCCAGCCTTTACATCCTGTGAGAAACAACCACCCACTTTTTAAATTTGTAAAGGTTTATTAAACCCTAACAAAAAATACAACAAAAGGACTAAATAAGGAGAAGCAGGCCTGGGAGTTTCCCTCATGGCTGCTACCACGTGGCTGGCTCACCTTCAAGATGGATTCTTCTCCTTTGATACCCCGGGGGGTTGCATCAGCTAAACCTGGGCCCTCCCAAAGTCTGTCTGTCAACTCTTCTTTGTGTGTATTGGTGGAGCCTGCGTTCTTGCAGCTTGACTGGAGGGCAGGTGTTGTCATGCTGCACCTCCCCCCTGCAACAAGCTTTGTACCCCCCTTCTTTGTACCTGTCACAGGTGACTCAGGGCCTCTGAC